TCCTGTCAGACTCATATTTCTTAGAGTTATTTTAATAAAGTATGGAGGAAACCTTGACTTATTTATTTGACGGTGGCGAACAGTTTCGTCTCACATGATACCCGTCAGTTGGAAATACGTACATCCTAGTAAGCGAAGGTATTCCTAGTGGGGCTTGAACTTAGGACCAAAAGCGCTATCGAGTAAGCTAATAGGCCACGAGAATCATCTCTTGGGAAGCTGGTATCATTTGTTGGTTATTGGATTAATTCTGAATTTCCTGTTGATAGAATTTGTTGGACCGATATGCTGGATCTATGTTGACAAGCTTTCTTCTTGTTTGGACGCTTAGATGATATTTTGAGGTTAACTTGGTGTTTTTTCCAATGATCTCTGTGTTCGTTAAATGCAATTATTTCAGCATTTATGGGCAGATAACCAATTCCATTTAGAAGAAATATGTAAGAGGAGCTTTCCTAATTTCGTTTGGATACCTGGACAAGCAAAAGAATTATACGAAAGCATTTGATCTCAACTGCTTATAGGTCTGCGTGAATAACTATTTTCACTGAAGTGTGTTTGCATTGATCTTATTCATTTATTCTACCTACTTAGTTAAACGACGGTATCAATCGTCATAATAGTGGAACAGATCTGTACCGTAGGTGTATGTTTTCAATGATGTTTGTTACCCCTGGGCTAGATGGTTTAATTGTGAAATTTTCATTCTCCCCTTTGATAACGCTCTTCAGTTGTTAGAAGTTGGCTCTGAAGAGATGATATTCCTGAAAGAGACCAAGGAACTCAACGACACCAAAAGTCGGATCAATCTGTATACAAGTAGCAAGGATTCCGTGGAGGAGACTTCTTAAATAATGGCTAGAATACTGAAACCATTTTGAAATATTGTACATCAACAAACACAATGGTTTTATTTAATATTATTCAAGCCAAATAACTTCACAGAAAAGGAAGATCAAGGATCAATACTACTTAGAGGATAAATTCCATCAACTGTGAAAAACACTATTTAGGTCTGAGGACACTTCCCACTTGTTACAGGATTTCATCATGAGCTGAAATTGGTTAGAGAGCCGAATCAAATCCCTATAAACCAACATTTCCCACTTGTCTTAGAATTCAAAAACATGGGCCGGTCCTTAATAATAATAATTTGCTTTATTCCAGAAACAGTACTAGTGGTACAGTGTGGAATTTTCAGCACATATCTACAATATTTGCATCTAATTTTATCAAATATTTAAAAGGAGTATTTTAGAAAAATAAATATAAAGATGCCAACAGCAAAAAAAAAACAGGAGAAAAACAAAATAATTTTAAAAAATGAGAAAAAAATACCAAGAAGTAGAAAGGAAAATAAACATCATATAATAATAACTCAGTATTGGGTAGTGGAAGCTATAATATGATTATGCATGGTGACAGTAAAGCTGTAGTCATACAAGAAGTTATGAAATGATATTTAAGAATGTTTATTGCCGAGATGGTCAGTTCTTTTGATTGAAACAACTCTAAACAATCATGAAATAACATTTCAGGGTTGTTGTTTTGTTTTGTTTTTTATTGTCAGGTCTAATGCAGTGTTTGTAGTGGTAGTGTGAGTAATCCTGCATAATACAAAATTTCAAGGTGGTGACAATGTCGTTCACAACCAATGATTATCAGTTAACATTGCCGAAAAAAATAAAAAATATGAAAACAACCACAAAACTAATAATTACATGATGGTTAATGACAGGACAATTTTTGTACTACTCATAGTGCTAATATAGTCGGGACCAGTAGATACACGAAGAAGGAATACAGTAAGGTACAAAAGCAAGCCAATGTTAATATTTTAGGTAGCTAAGTATGTTTAAGAAGGAGTTGACTATAGAATACAAAATAGGAGAGAAATAAAAGAGCCTAAAATGATGTTATTAAAAACAGAGCAAGTCATAGGTTTCGCGCTTGATACTGTCTCTGTGCCGTTTCATATTAATGCATGCACAGAACTATGGATATCAGTTTGGCTAGAAAATGGTACTCAGACGTATCAACTAATAAAGAATTACGGGATTGATCATGAGCTAACACAAGTTAGAGAACTAACTGGCTGGATGGTCTATGAGCTCTCCCTGTTACCGGGAAGTTCCTGAGTTCAAACCTTGGTAGCTGCATACTCCTCAAGACTCCGAGATCAGAAAGAAGTAGCTGTCCAGTAGGCCATGATAGTTTCCAATGGTCTTCTCGTGATCAATCCTGTAGCTGATTAAACCTCTGCAAACCAACTCATCATAATAAAGAATTAGTCATATGAGAATGTGCAGACTTCATATTGAAGTTTGCACTGAAGATGCTGACTAGACAGATAATGAAATGTTCGCAATTAAACTGTCCGGTTAAGAGAACGCTATAACATCAAAAACACCCCACTCCTTGAGATACATAGTTCGCCAGTGTTTCGAAATGCAAAAACATTGTTAAAGTTCGGTTGTGGCACTTGTGACTATGCTGGAGTGCACAAGGTCTACTTCAAACAAGGCTTTTTATCAGATACATCTTGAGAAGAAACTCATTTTGTTTAGCCCAGATTTAAGTTTGTGATACCCTCTGTTGAGGTTAGTAACTTTATCTTATCGTTACTCGGTCGGTTTTCGACATAGAACTTTGCACTGATGTGCGGCAGTTTAAGTCGCCACACTCCCTTCATGTACCACACAAAGCAAGAGAAGAAAGTGGGAGAAATGCATAATATAGACAGTAAACAGACGTGTGAGACAAAGGAATAGGAATAACGAAGAAGAAAACAGTTTAATTGGAAATCATAAGTCACAAGGAGTGGATGCATCTCCGCCAGCCATTTAGAACGATTTTGAGCCATGTCACCAATTGTTTCCAACCATTGGTTTTTACCGTCCCGAGGACCCCAACCAGGAGGCTAGTCTACACCTTCCTACGTGGCTTAGACTAACTGTTGTAGATTTCATTGACTGGTGCCATGTTTTCGTTTGACTGCCGCTAGCTCTTTTCCAGCCTGACCCTATCTCAGCTAACATTGCCCGTCGAGGGAGGCGATGACTAGGCATACGTAACACATGTCCTAACCATCTCAGTCGATATAATTTCACAGTCTCGTTGACTGATTTCCCCTCCTTACCTAGCACTCGACGCCTAACCTCAATATTACTCACCTTATTATGCCACTTCACACGGGAGATAGAACGCAGACACCTATGATCAAAGACAGCTAGTCTTTTCATGTCTTCCACTCTCCATCGCCCGGTCTTACTTGCAGCCATAAAGGAGGACGGAGCGGACTGATGAGCAGTACATACGCTCTTTGGTCGATAGTCGGATATCACGTCTACTAGGCCAGAGACGGCGTAAACTGGCATATGCGAAACTAGCCCTCTGTATTCGTGCTGAGATTCCATCAGAGATCAACCCGTTGGCACTGGCTGATGGTAATTCCCAAATAAGTGAAGCGGTCAACGTGCTCTACCACTTCACTTCCTATTTCTAATCTAGGGGTCGGTGTATTCCAATCCTGTAACATCATCTTGCATTTGGCGGCAGCGAATCGCATGCCAAACATACAAAGATTGTTTGGCATCGTTACTAACAAAGTTTTGTGTGATGAACACTGTATGTCAGTTAATTACGCTATTGTGACCAATGTAACTACTGCCTATTACTGAATGTGTATTTATCTAAAGCCGTCGGTCGACGATGACATGTCAGTACATGGTAGAATTGCTCACTGTTATTTGATGTTTATTTCAACTTCCGACCCTATGTTAGTTTGTTTATTAGATATATCACACAAAGAAGAAACAGTATTACTTACTGGATGACAATGTTTCCAACACAATTTACTGTTCACAATCATATCAGTTATCATAACGTGACTTCAAAACTTGAAATTTGTAGTTTTCTTTGTTCTCTCCTATTTGTCGTCGTAAAGGCAGTAGAATTTTCCAGACGACTGTATGGACAGGTGTTGAATCATTCCTGTTGCACGTCTTTGCAGTAGATTCGATAAACCAAGCTGACGTTCTAAATCTCTCCCCCTACCCTGCTGTTACTTTAGATCATAAAACTGTCATCTTATTCCATCCATCCTATTATATGGTTGTGTGTAACAGCATGTAGTGAGTGGTATAGCTGAACTATTCTCTAGATTTCTTATCTTATTCGGGTCAACTAATCTAGATTTCGCTGCTAGGTTTTTATGCTCGGCTAGTCTGACCTGTGTATTTGACCTAACAATCAGAGCAGACGGATTATTAGATAAACTAAATTGTTTTGTTTTAAAGGCTCCACCGGCAGGATCCTTTAACCGACGAAACTTGTTTCTAATTGAGTTTGTAGGCTTGAATGCTAGCTACTTTTATTCCTGCATTGTTCAGGATTCTCCGTAAGGTGATTTCCGAGGTTCCTTCTTTGTATGGAAACACTAGTGATGATTTAGATTCCTTAGAAAATGGAGAGAACAAAGAAAACTATAAAACTCAAGTTTCGAAGTCGTGTGATTATAACTGATATGATTGTGAACAGTAAATTGTGTTCAAAACTTTTTCATCTAGTAAATAATACTGTTTCTTCACTGTGTGATATATCTGATAAACAAACTAATATGGAGTTACTTACTACCACACTTTCCAAGTCTTACACATATATTCCGACCCTATGATAAGTAGATCTTTGATGAAGATTTCTTTGGAAAACCAGTCATAACTTCATAAATGTGCGTCGGTGGCACAGCGGTTAGGACTCTCGCCGATCATGCACACGGTCCGGGTTGCAATCCTCTGCCGGCCGACTACTGGCGTAGAATCAAGCTGTAATCGAAAAGTGAAAAAACAAGCAGCCCCAAAATAACTTCAATTCCAATAATGCTACTTGAGGAAGTTAAGATCGGTTTGTCAAATGATGTAACATTGTTATGATTTACTTGAATATCGTTGAGATTTCAACAAATATAACTTTTTCCGTTCTTGTTGTTTTTTTCCTTTTAGGAAGTGAAGAGTCATTTTTGTCAAACACGCAAAATTTTTGAAATGTTCTTAAGAATACTTGAATGTCTTGGGGAATTTTCAATGTCAGCGCCAGATTTAGCACATCTGCTAAAAATGCTTCGTTCAGAATCAGTCAGGATATTTTGTAGTCAAATATTGAAGGTATGTTTACAGCTGAAACGAGAAATATTTTTGGTCAGTATTGCTCTTATCCAAAATAATGCGGTTAAATTACTTCTTCTTTTTTGCCACACCGAGTGGAACATAAGGACTCAACCTTGAGTTCCGAAGTTCAAGTAGTGATGGTGTTGATGTGTACGGGATGGGGTGGATAGCCTCACGTCAAATCTTCCCTCTGTCTACCACGTCTACTACCTGCTAAATGAGATTTAAGGGTGAGTCGGCATGGAAACGAACATGGAGTGCTTGCCTGGCTGGAGAGCTTTCTACCACTGGACCACCATCGATGAATATAATCAGCTTAAGACGGCAGTTCTCGCTCTATCACCGAAGCTGATTTATATAATGGCCGGAACTACAAAATAGTACTAACTAACTAACTCAGTGCTCTGGTTAATCTGTCCTAATTTCACGCCAACAAGGTCAAGTTAAAAAACTGTAAGCACCACTAACTACTGCCAATGGAGTGCGATCGCACCAGTGACCTTGAAAGGTGCACTGAGCAAGTTAGTGAATCCTGGCAAATAATGTTGTCATCATCAATAAAATATGCTCATCGAAGTGTTATGCTATTAAATGGGATATCTGTTAGGTTTCAGCTTAGGTTTGGGAGAGATTAAGTTACTCTTTAAGCCAAGGACAAGTTAGGGTTAGGATAACCTAATAAAGGCGATATTGGGGTCGGTTCGAGTAAGATTACGTTTCGTTTAGGGAAATTTTTTACTTTAGGGTTAGGTTCAGGAAAGATTAAGGTTATTGTTAGGGTTAGAAGACCTAAATAATTACATGCATAGAATATGGTTAAATTACTCTGTTGATATAAGAATAGAACTTTTGCACTGTGATGGTAGAGTATAATTCCATTGTGGGGTAAAATTTATTTTGATAAAGTCTCACAGTGTTACACAGTAATATTTACTGATGACCACATTTCGAGCACAATTTATTGCCCAGTAAACATTACTGCATAACACTATGAAACTTTATCAGAATGAATTTTGCCCACAATGCAATTATGCTCTGTTGATACTCCAAGCTAAAATTGAGGGTAATTTTTACCACATTTGGGAGGAACGTATCCTCTGTAACACTTTCCCACAGTTTTTATGTAGTTTTTTCGTGCATATATGTATTCCATACACAAAATTGCCTCCTTCACGTGACTGATGCGTTCGACGTCTTGTGCACTTTAGTAGTTAGAGGTGCTTAAAGTTTAATTTCGTCGTCAACAATAACATCAATAGTAACACCGCCGGCACGCAAATACAAAGGAAAAGACTCGACGTCGATAAGAGAACTTTTATTGTCCCAAACAACAGGCGAAATGCTAGACAGAAACTTTGTATATGTACAGTTAGAATGACGTTTAAAATGAGGTGGTAATTCATTGATGCATTAAAAGTGTTAACAGCCAATAGGAATCCAGCAATCCGAACAGAGGGAAAAACAAAGGGTTCACACGCCAGTGCACGATAACTGCTTAAAGTAGTTATTTTAAGGTTATAGGAAAATAAATTAGGCAGAACCAGGTGTATATAACAATTTATGATTCTAATTTTGCGCTTAGTAGAATTTTTATTACTTTAATTGCAAATTTTATTACAAACTGATATCATTTAAATGATCATTGTTAACCAAGCACAGCTGAAAAGGTTTTTCGTCTTAGTTGCATCTTAGATTGCATCAAATGCATCAATCGAAATCTGTACAAAACCCAAAATTTGAATATAAGTTTCCTACTCATTAGTAACTTTTAAGATGTATGTCTTGTAGTTTTACTGAAAAGTCGTGACCGGTGAGGATCACCCCTTGGTTTTCTACTTCACCTATTATCGCGAATAGTCAGAGGTTAGAATTCGCTAGTCACTGGATTTCAGTGAAGTAGATGAATGTCCAAGAGACTACTCACCTTGCAAACTGAGCGTCCTAGCGGTTATGAAAACCGTCATAATAGTGAGGGAAAATGAAAGCTTGTGAGCAACAGTCAACTCGGTTCAAAAGACAGCAGAGAATGGAATATGCCAATGACATGCTACTGAAGTTATCTAATCCACTCAGAACTCAAGGGATGGATAATATAGTAATAATTACTACTACTATACATAGTGCGTCTGTGGCACAGCTGTAGAATGCTCGCCAACCACGCAGGTGATCCGCGGGTCGATCCCGGTCAAAGCACTTTC